ATATATATGAATAGAATAAATGTTTGAAAAGAAAATTTGCCCTGAGCGGGCATATATATATTATTTCAACGTATATATTATTTCAACGATGACCTGATGAGTGTGGTCATTTTCGACCATACGAAACAGAGCTGTCGTAATAAAACGATGAACTACCTCTGAAGTTCTGAACCAGTTTGTTATAATTATATATATATATCACTAGAGTCTTAGAATAGTGAATAAAAGGGAGTGATCACTAATCGGAACATCGACTACGCCTGATGCCGTATACGTTTCTTGTTGTTTGTATGAATGAGATCAAGCAAGCATATTTCGGGGTGGCTAATTAGTCACTAAAATTTCACACACATTTCTCACCCGATCAATTCCTCTTCGTAGCACTTTTGCCTTCCCCCCCTCCTACTCCTCTTTACAATAATCCTCCTACACCTACTGACAATTTTACTCCTCCCTCCCTTAAAATTTAGTGAATAAAACGGGAATTGAATTTCTATGGTCTGGTAGCTTAGTGGTCATAAGTTACATGGGTCCTCTGATACATCTGAAGAAGGGCCTGGAACGAGACGATTAAAGGATCAATTTCCTAGTTAAGGTTGGAGCCTCGTCCTCTTCTTCACAACACTCCTCCTCGTCCTTCTCACACCACTCCTCATCCTCATCCTCCTCCTCACAAAACTCTCTTTCCTCTTCCCCTCCAGAGCATCTTTTTCCTCCTCCTACCAACACTGTTCCCTCTCCTCAGAAATCTCCTTGTCATCGCACTCTTCTTCTTCCTTCTCACTAAAATAATAATAATAAAAATAAATAATAATTTAGCAATGGACATTCCACTGGGTGGCTCTTCTCTTCTACTGTTTCCAGATCGAATTGGAATGTTGGTTTTTGCGGAGGGAGAAAAACCAGAGGACCCGTAGAAAATCCTCGGAGCAAGGACGAAAACCAACAACAAACTCAAACCACATGTGACGCCAGGTCTGGGATCGCACCCGGGCCACAGTAGTGGGAGGCGAGTGCTCTCACCACTGCACAATTCCTCCTCCTGTTTGATTAAAAAACCTGTTGTTCTGTTTTCTTTTCTTTTCATTCTCCCATCAAAATAATTGTCTGACCTACGTGATACTCTCGCGTCACATTTTGTCGCATGACTTACGTCACCATATGGATAACTAACGACTGACGTCACCATATGGATAACTAATAGAGGCTAGTAGCTAGGTCACATCAGACACCCCATGGATCGCTATTAAAGACTATAAGGGATAATTATTAAGTTAATTAATATTCATCCCAACATCTTAAAAAAGTCCGTTTTAGTTTAGCCCCTATCACTACTTCTTTTTCAGTTAGTAAAACTAGTTTGTAGTTTATCGTGTGGCAACGTTAACCTACTTGAGAGACTTGATCGGTAGAGATTACAATAACGTTTTGTGTCAGGCCTGTAGCGACTTGGTATCGTAAGACATCTGGACAAGAGACGAGTCTTCTGGTTGGTTCATTAATGAATGAGTTGCCAATCATGATTGGATTTTTATGTTCGCACAATGATTTCCGGGATCGCCAAGACGCAAACATTGCAAGAAATATGGCGAAAGACTGTTTCGACGTGCAGGTAATCAATTTCATAGAGAGATCATCGCTTTTTCTCCGCATATTTATTAGAAATGGATTTAGGTAATGTCGATACGAGGAAAGAGTAAGTGTGAATTAAAGTGTGAATCGGAGAGAGCAGTTCGCGAAAGGACATTTATTATGTAGTGTGAGAAACGATAGCCTTTCTGTGTTTTTACCATGTATCTCACTGCGCCTTTTGGGAATATTGCTATACTGCTGAACAGATGAAAGTCACCAGATTGCCTAACTAAACGTAACAATCATGGTGAGAAAGCAGTGTAGTTTTCACTGCAGCACGATTATGGTTAGTCTTCGTTCTCGACGGAGTAATGCACTTATCATTCATGCTTTATTTAATTTGCTGAAATATGATCAGAAACAGGTAAAGTTTGGCAATTAGTTCATGTATTATTTGCAAGTAACGCAATGGAAAGACTGTAATGAAAGCTCTGTCCTCCTACTCCTGTGTTTGTTTACAACACACAATTTACAGTTCGACACACATGTGGATCCACAAAAAAGAAAAAGTATCCATGCATATTTTGAAAAAGCAGAGAGCCACCTTTGACAGAAATACCTGGGTTCTAATCAGGTACATGGCATTAATTAAAGAACGAGGTCTCTTTTCTCAAATGCACATACAATGGCCGATAAACTTATCAAAAATGGCAGTAGAGCTGCAAATCCCGCGGGTCTTCCCTCGGGGACCTGCTACGAAAATGAAAAAATAATCCAATACCCCCATCCCAGGCTTAAAATTAGCGGAACAAAGCTGAAAAATCCCCGCGCCATGCCCGCGTATGTCCCCGGGGTTGCCCCCCTCCCCCTCTGGGAAGTGCATAAGGGGAACATGAGAAAAATTTTGAATCAAAGATTTCTCAGTTGAGATGTAGATGGATTTCCCCGAACATTTTGCTTAACCGCGATAAATCTCATCCCTGTGGTTGTTTGTGCAGTTCTTTAAACGGCATGCTGTGTTGCGCGTGAACTGTGTGGTTTGCTCGATGCCGTCTCATTAAAAAAAAGTTATTGACGGCTTTGTCTGGCCTCTAGGCAGTTTAATCGCCCGAGCTAAGTACGTCGCTGAACACTGTCGGCGAGACTCGTTCATGTACAATGAATTGGTCCCTTGTCGAGTCGTTTCTTTCGTTCATACAAAAATAACTCTGTGTTTGCGTATCGAGTGGTATCTCGCACTATCAGATAAAGCATTTAATGATAGATAAACTTGTCCCTGCCTTTTGGTTGCTCTTTTGGCTAAGGTCGAAAGATCACCAAGTTATATTTACTTTCTATGTCGTCTGCCATGTCAAAATCTGTTTCTTTGCTTTTCGAAGTTCTCCATCGATTACATCTTTTTTTTAAAACGGTATTTTACCGTAACAACTACGTGTTTACTTGTCATTATCGATGAGACATTCCCCGATAAAATGACACTTTTCAGTTAGCAGCCTAAATTTTACATAATCCTTCCTTACTAGGATAGATTTCAAGATAGATTAAATGCTAGTGTTAATAAATTTTCACGCGACTTTCGCTTGCTTTGACGTTTTCTACCAATCAAATTCGCCTTATGCTACCTTGATCTCAACTCCATTACTTGTCACTTCCTTCTAAACAAACATAGTAGGCAACAGGCCCGCCCATCGTAATGCCTAAGTGAAAGCCTTTGAAATATCACTCTTTTCTCTTCACTCAATGCATTTTTATTTATTCGAGAAACTGAGACCGCGGATGTAGGCCTCCTTATCATGAAGATGAAATGGAGTTTCGGTTTGCTTTCTACGGTAAAATTAAAAACGTTCGTGCCGAAGCGCCAATTGTTTGGTCTCGTCACGCCACGGGAATGGGGGAGAGAGCTTGTTGCGTGACAAGAGCAAACAACGGCTGCGTGGCTCAAATGCAGTTTATTTCTGCTTAAAATTATTGAGAAAACAGTGACAACAATCCACAAAATATTTGTGTCTGCGTTTTTCAATTTAAATCGAAACGTCATGTACTCCCTATCGAACGGTATTTTTGCTGGTAACTTTGAAAGTGAATGCTCTCTGTTTGAAAAAACTCAGTCACTCAGTGTTCCCTCTAAACCCACCCATCCGAAAACCATGAAGTTTGGGGTGACATCATGTTTGATCACTGAATTGACCAATTGTCTTTCAGAGGGATTTTCCCGCTGAATGTTTTTCTCCCATTCTTACATACTTTCACTTTCACTTTCTGCATCGGCCATTTTTCATTGGCCATGGATTGCAAATGTAAAGAACGTTTTCGACTTAAACTGCCCGATATTGCTTCAAAGTTAAGCACCGAAAACCTAGAAAAGTTGAAGTTTATTTTTGAAATCCCGCAAGGAGAAGCGGAGAAGATATCAAACGCAGAAGATCTGTTCCAGTTACTAGAGCATGAGCTTAAAATCGCACCACATCGTCTGGATTTCTTAATGAATGGCCTCGATAAATCTGGAAGGAAGGATCTTGCTGCCGAACTGAAGAATTTCATAGGTGATTGTCGCTGCGAAGGAGTAAAAAGTAAGCCACGAAAGCCGCTAATAAATATTTATTCTTGACTCATAATTTTCACTCTTAGTGTAGTGAATCAATTTATCCAAGTCGGTTTTGTACCGTTTGTCCAACAGGATTTCATGCTTAAATGTTGTTAACGAAGCCTCGTATTTACTTGCTGTATTGACCTACCTTGTTGGTAAATATGTTCTGGCGGGAATCAATTTCATGTAAAAGAAAATAAATCATATTTTGGGAAACATCCTTTCCTAGCCCTCGTGTTCCAAACAAAGAGAGTGACCGGGCACAGGATCTCGTACACTAACGCTTTTTCGTGAAACGGTTGAATTAAAATAAACGGTTTAACGGATAATTAACGGGTAGTAAGAGTGTTTAAACGGTTTGCATATCCATTTCAACGGATAGTCCAAAGCGTTCAACGGTAGAGAAGAGTCCAAAACAATTTTGCATATGCAACTTTCTTTCGCTCATGTTTCATCTAGCGTTCGATTTCGTAAAGTAATTTGTAATTATAGCTTTTATAAAGCCATTTTCGTTTCCTTTCAATCTATGGAAATAAAAGATGAGAAACCCGATAGCTACCGATTCGGTAAATAATTTTGCCGTACACGTCTATCGAAATAAATTTGCATAAGCATGAAAACAAATCTCGCTCTTGTCTGTTTTCGTAAAGTAATGCGAGCTCTCGTGTCTCAATATCTGGTTGAGAATTAATATTCTTCTAATCGAAGACCTTCTCATACCAGAGATTTGCAAACAGTAAGTTGTAACATCAGCTCGATCGAAGCGTGATTGATTTTCAACGGATGCTTCTTGGGACTGCATGTTTTATACCGTTTTTTTTTAAACGGATAGGTTAACCGTTTAAACGTTTTGTCGAAAACGTTAAACGGATGAGCAAAGCGTTTAAACGGATGAAGAAAGCATTTAAACGCTTTGATGATCCGTTTTAAACGGATAATAAACGGATAGTAAACGGATTATTTCGTTAAACGGTAAAGCGTTAGTGCACGAAATCCTGTGCTCAGTCACATTATTTAATGATGGTGGGATGGCGGGGTGGCCGGTAGGGTTGAAGGAGTGGGTCCACGGTGACAAAACAAGAGTAAGAAGTCAACAAAATGACGAAGAAAAGGAATGCCTGACAATTACTGCATGATCATCAGCCACTCGTTGTTGGCTACGAAATGTGATGCTTTTAATTGTAAGCCAAATAGATTTTGATTTACCCTTGTCTAATAAAGTTAGAAGCAAGAAGAATATTGGCTTTGGGATCATGCACATGTAGGGTGTGGATCAATTTATATAGCTTCAACATTTCTCCTCCCATGGAACCCACTGGCATTAACAGCCGTCTGTGCCCATGGAGGGAGTAGCGAGTTTGACAAAGGCCTTTCTGAGGGGTGGGAAATTTGAACCTTGCCTGGGTGGAATGAGGAATTGGAACAAGAAGACTGTCAAATCTTCCCAGGGGAATACTCATGTTTCATATTTTGATATTGAGAGTTTAAAGGTAAACTGAGTTTACTTTTGTGAGCTAATGGCTAATGTGAGCTGTGCTCACAATTTTTGAAGTGTTTGCCCCCTGAACATTGCAGTAGTGTAACTCCTTTTTCGATCAATCACATGACTAATGTTAACCCCTGCCATAGACAATGCTATGAACTCATGTTTGATTTATGTGGCCAGCTACCTTGGCTACCTTTTAAATGAAAGACTAAATTTTGCAGTGTAAGCATTTTAGCTGATCTTTGTTGTGATTTTTTTATTTTTATTTTATTATTTACAGCTGATGATGGAAGGGGTACATCTGCATCTGGTTCTAGTGAATCAAGTGCCACTTTGGTAAGTTTTAATTTTGCTTGGTGTCTTAAAAATTAGGGATATCAGGTGAATTGAATTTTCCACAATTACAAAGGATCTTAAAGGATCCTGAAATATCTTTATGAGGACATTTGAGGAACCTTAGTTGAGGATCCTCATGAAGATCTTTGAAAAAAACTTCAAGGATCTTCAAAATTCATGGTAAGATTTTCACAAATCTTTCATTTTCTTGCTAAGATCTTCAAGGATCTTTCATTTCCTGCCATTAAGATCTTTAAGGATCTTGAAGGATATTCAAAGATCTTGTCCAGAATTTGGAGGATCCTTTAAGATCTTTGAAAGTCCTCATGGAACTTCAAACTTCTTATTAAGCTCTTCAAGGGTCTTTCATTTTCTTTCCAAGATCTCCAAGGATCTTTCATTTTCTTGCTCAGATCTTCGAGGATCTTATTTTATATTCCTGCCCATGATCAATACTCTTTTTATGATCTCATCTGCTCTTACCCCAGATCTTTGAGGATAATTGTCACAATTCCCATTAAGATATCTCCATTGTTCTTGTCAAGATTTTAGAATATTCAAAGTTCTTGCTTATATCTTTGTGTTATTCGAAATTCGATCTTCCCAATATCTTAATTCTTCAGATCTTTAATAAACTTGTTAAGACCTCTTTGGTTCTTTCAAAATCTATTTCAATCTTTGGAGAACATTTAAGATGTTGCAAGAGAAACTCAAGGATTTTGCTAACAATAGTTGAGGATTTTCGATAAATATTCTGAATAATAATAATCAGCCTAGACATATACAAATTGTGGAATTACATTTTTTATTGCAACGACCAAAAGTTATCTGTATGAACAAAAGGTGCACACACACACACACACACACACACACACACACACACACACACACACACACACACACACAAAAAAAAAACAAAAACAAAAGGAAACAAAAAATATTTGGCAAAAGTTACAGCAATTTAACAGTTTATGCAGCTTTACTGTACAATGAAATCTATAATAACAATTATAGCTATTTTGCAAATTTTTTTCTGAACAAATCAACAAAATATTTATGTGCTTAGCAAAGAATGCAATAGGTAATACTAACCATAAGGAAAAATATGTAATTAACTGTGTCACCTTAACAAATATAGCCTCTAAGAGGAGGTTAGGAGACAGTAGGTTTAAATATACCAAAAGAGAAAGTTTGCTGTAAGTTTTCAAAAAGGAAAGCTCAGGCAAGATTCTTGCTCACAAAATTGCTAGGTGTTTTCAAATATTATATGCATTATTGACAAAGGGTGAGGTCAAGATGGCTAGTTATTGGCAGAGTTCTTTTTCTGGGTTTTTATAGACTGAGACAAACAATCAAAGAAGCTTGGTCAATAAAGGGTTTATGTTGTAGCAAGCAAATTTTGCTTCATAAGAATCAAGAATTATTTGCTTATTTTAATCCATCCCAAGATCCTGCAAATCAAGCTAAAACTTATTATAATCATGTCAAGAAGTTCTTTGGAAATTATAATTTAGATGAGGTCTACTTAGAAAAATCTGATTTACTTCTTCTTGTATCAATATTTTCCTTTAATTACAGCGTTTCGTTTATTCAAAGTAGAGAATTTATTTATCACGAGCATGCACAAAGGTCTAAGGTAAAATTAGTTACCTCCTTGAAGACTAACCCAATGCTGACTTGCAATCTGATTAGCACTGTGAGTTACCAAAATAGACTTCCCCTTACAATTTCAATATTGCATCAAGCATCCAGTGTTCCTGATTAAAAATGGTTGACATGACACACACAGAATCTTTGAGGATTATTGAATAAAGCTCTAAAAATTGCATATCAAAGTTACATCTTAGTCTGAATTAATCTCTCTCAGTAAAGTTAAGTGAAATATTAACTCTCTCATTTGTGTGGTATTTACTATAATCAGCGCCTGGCTTGGTTTTGATCTGAGTTGGGCTGCCGTGGGGTGCTAACTGATTGGTAAATTTGAAACAGTCTGCATGCTTCAAATACCTCGGGTCATATTGAGAAAGCCGCATTTAAGATTTCAGCATCACTTTCCCCAGAAAATTTTGGAGGGATGAAGCTTGATTTATTCAGATAAGAGATATAGCAACATCTCATAAATCAACAAATGTCCCCTATCAAGAGAGATTTTAAGTAGTTTTGGCTGGATTCCAGTTTGAATTGGAAGAGGTAGCCATTGGCAGCTGCCAAGTTACAAGCCCTGTCTCCCTTTCTTCTCTTAATGATTTCCAACCAAAAGTAATTTTGTAGAAAGATGCTTCAAATGGCCCATGAAGGCAAAAAAATGCTATAGAGGAGTCAACCGAGATATTCATACCTGATGTTATTTAGTCTAGATATGAGAGCTTAATATCCATAACCCTCAAAAATTTTGTTTGTCTCATTTCAACTGTAGTGTTGTCATTCGGACACGAAGAGACTGTCTCTCCTTCATTGCCAAAGGCTAATTGAACTTTATTTACAAACACGTTACACATAAATTATAGAAGTAGAAGAGTTTACTGACTTACAGTAATTTTACAGCATGTAAGTATAATTTCCAGTACAGTATGATTACTGCTAGTAGTACATTTACTGAATTAAGTACAAATAAGTGCTCACCTTAGAACCCATACTAAGCTCATTGTCAATAATTGAAATAGGTGCATGAATAATCAATACACTACATCCTTTCCAGCCAATGTTGAGAAATTTAATTATTTAATTAGTGGTAAATAAAATTTTCATTATCCCCACAAAACACCACACCTGTGGTGTTTGTGTTTGTGTGTTTTATAATTTTCATTATGTTGAATTAACTGCTCATCCTGACCAAGTGGTAGCAACATTGCCCTTATTATTCTGAGAGGCTTGCTCATCACATTGACCTGCTGGCTCGTTGCTTTTACAAGCATCAGGGTTGGTCATACCCTTATTGCTAGAACCTATAAAGCTTCGTTGCTGTTCTCTAGTTCTTTGACAATTTCTGAACTCAAAATAGGCATGTGCTTTAGATATTTTGCATTCTGAATTAGAGTGGCACAGGTATCTACACAGTAGAAGTTATCTCTTAAATTAACACATGCGTTTCAGGATGTGACAAATAGTAATCAATATAAGTTAGTATGTATATTTTCGATCCATCGGACTGATGATGTCAACAGGTCAGTTGATCCAAGGACCATGGGGTAGCTTTACAGGCTGAAGTGGTAAATATGTTTTTATTCAAAGACTGATTTAAGACACAAGCTTGACAATTCTTAATCATGACCCCTTGTGAAATGGATCTTGGAATTCCTAGGAATTACTGGGAATAAGAGGTGTGAATTTTCATGGTAAAGTTGGACCGGGAATTCCAAGGAATTCCCGAAAAAACCTAGAATTTGCCAAAAATTCCATGTTTGTATAGCCAATTAACAGGAGTTGCAATTCCTATAAATTCCTAGCAGTTCCTTGAAATCTAAAAACCTGCTGGAGATTCCTAGGAATTTTTAGGAATTTCTAGGAATGTTTAAGAATTACTGGGAATTTTAGGAAAGGGAACATTCATATTCTTCTTATAGTCAAATATGCATATTTTAGGTTGAAAGGATAGTCTTTTTTTATATGGATGAAATATGATGAAATTTGATTTTTTTTATGTTAAGGTTTAATTTGCTTGATGTTAGCCAAACATACAATTTATGTAACTCCGTATTCACTGTTTGTTCTAATGATTTAAGGTTTCTGTCCGCATATAAAATATTACTGTCATCAGCAAAATGATAGAAATTAAGCTCTTTGGAACAGGTATAAATATCATTGATATACAATAAAAACAATAATGGGCCTAATACGGAGCCTTGTGGAACACCACAAGTCGTTAAGGTTTTTTTAGAGATAATTATGTGAACCAACTAGTGTTGTTTGTGTCTGCTCTTGCAAGTAAGATGAAAACCAATTGTTTATTATTCGGCAAAATCCATAATGGTTATAAGTAAAACAGCATGATCTACTGTATCGAAAGCTTTCTTTAAGTCTTTAAAAACACCACACGAAAATAAACGTTTATCCATATTGCTCTGAATGGTATTAACTATCAATGTCAATAATTGCATGTTGGGTTGAATGCTCTTCACGGAATCCGTATTGAGAGCGATGAAGTACATGTATGTCTTCTTCATTAAAATAAAAACTTTCATTCTTTTGTACATCAATTTTTCAAAAATTCTGTTAAAATTAGAGAGCAAATTAAGATATTAGTAGTTATTGCCGTTAGTGAACTTTAGACCCCAAAATCACACACAGTATGCTTGGGCTGCCTGTGGTGTTATCAACACTGTCACCCTTTTGGAGCATGACATCAAAATAATCTGTTACACCACAGGTTCACCAAAGAAACATCAGAAGAGTTCTATTTCAGACGGTGACAACAATTTGTAATGAGATATTGGGGTTTAACATTTCAGTGAGAAAAGGTATTGCTACTATATTAGAATATAAAGGTGAAACCATCAGTAGAAAACAGTTAAGGGTTAGGAAGAAGTACTTTACCACATACAGCTTGAATTGCAATAATATATTTCAGATTATTATTGTATTAATACTCTCTTTAACAAGTCATTTCAATTGAAAATGACAGGAAAATAAGTAAGAAGGCACACGTGGGTGGTGCTCTCTCAAAGGGATTCTTTCAGCTGAATAATGCAATAAAAAAAATCCTAAATGAAAGTGCAGTGTTTCTAAATCTTTTGTCCACTTACCTTCATAATACTCAGATCTTATATTGAATAATTTAATTACAAATTTCTTGCAGTGTTTCATCATCATTTATTTCAATCCATATGTCTTTCATGTTTTTAATCCTCTATCTACAAACACATTATTTTTTCTTTAAAGTATCTCCTGACATTGAAAGGGACCTAAATATGTTTTCCTTTCAAAGAAGCACTTGCAAACTGCATGCCTATAAAAGTGACAAACAAGGCTTACAATACTGTGTTTCGATCAACTGTTGATTTGCAACAACAAAGATCACTTATCAAAAACACTACTAATATCGCTGATTTGATGCAAATATTATATATCTATGTCTACACCGAATGCAAATATGGCATCCAACTTGAGTTGCCATTGTTCTGGACTGACTAGCCTCTCACACATGTAATAATCCTTTTGTATTTCCACGTGAAGACAAGGCTAGTCAGTCCAGATCAATGGCAATTCAAATTGGACGCCATATATTTGCATTCAGTGTATGCTGACACCAAATACACAGAGGGCTGTGACTAAAAAAGTTTCAGGAATTATTGTTATGTTATATAATTAAACCTTTTATTTTAATTGATCTTTATTCCTGTATTATTCCCTTTATTTTTTGTTAGGAAGTGAAATCTGACTTTTTCCTAAATGATGTGAATTTCAAAAATCACTGGCACCTCCTGATTCTTGTTTGCCTCTTCAGGTCTCATTTTTATATGTAACATTTTGGTAGAATTAATATTAAGGGCTTGAAAATGACATTTTAAATCTGTCAAAATGTGAGAAAGATCTTTGCTCATGAAATCTTCCTTTTTTTTATTAGAATCTTGGAAAAAATTAATAAACTAAGATTGTTTCAAGAATTTCCTGAGAAGTTACAAGACTGTGATCATTCTTGTCAAAGACTGACAAAATTCTTTCCTTAATATATCTTTGAACCTCCGAAGAATCCAGCTGGATCCTTGCAAAGATCTTTTTAAGACATTCCCTTTGGCACAAATAAGGTTTCTGCAGGATCCTAAGAAAATCCTTACAAATCCTTTGAGGATCTTTATTTAAGGTCCTTAAATGAATCATGATTTAACATAATAATTTGAAAGACATTAACATATTCTTGAGAATTTTGGAGGAATGTACAGTGTAGCTATAAATTGTACAAATGGCCTGATGGTCCTTGAGGATTCAGCTGCTAGCAAAGATCTTAATAAGGATGGCGATCCGCTTAAGATTTTTATCAAATCTTGGAGGATCAACATTAACCCTAGCAAAGATCTCACTAAGATCCTTGTTATTTTCCTTGTGGACCTTGAAGGTCCTTACTTGTAACTTTGGTATGGTCTTATAATGACTAAGGATCTTTGTAGGATTTTTGGAGGATCTTCATCAAATCCTTTCAAGAAGGCAATCTCATTAAATAATTTTGCATACAAAGATCTTGGCAGGTTTTTCACAGCTCTGGTTTTAAGGGTCTCTCCTCAAAGACCCTTAAGTATCCTTTGGGGTTTACCACCAGGTTATATTGCCCAGACCCTCATCAGCTTTAATTGTGCTGCAGTACTAGTGCATGATATCTTCGATTGGTAGCTAGCTTATTTTAAAACCTGTACCTGCACAGCCTTGGGTGGTAATTTGCATATTCTCAAGTGCCAAATTTAGGAACAACAGGGTGTTATAAGGTTTCAAGTGGGTGCTTATATTTTACTCTTTGATATGCATATTGAAATTATCTTTGCATAGGGCTGATTTTTATATATTGTGTCTCACAAGGAGTTACCTCCATCAGACTGTAGTGTTTATTTGAGAAGGTATCCTTACAGCTCATTCATGTGCTGATAAGAGCATATACTTAAATTTCCTAAAAATTTGTGAGATGAGAGCTTGTTATTAAACAAATGATAATAATGATAAAACCAATTGATATTATAAATTGTAATGACAAAGATTTTTGTTATCATTTGATGTTGCCACCAGCATGTGGACAAAACAACTGAACTGAATTTAGTTTGGCCCACAAACTTGGGCTAATGAAATATTTCTTTTAGTGTCTAAGTTAATGACTTTCTTAGTGCTGTTCTAAACTTGCTGATCGTCCACATTGCCTTGAATCCAAATTCTTGATAGCTAATGGGTGATATTTACAACACTTGGGACAAAATGTATACAAACAGCTAATACCATTTTCTGTCAGAGGGATTTTCATTTTAAGTTTTCTCTGATTAGGGGCTTCAGTTGATTCAGTCTACGATCAAATAGATATCTCCTTCTTCTGCAATAACAACAAAACTCTCTCGGCATCTTGAATTAACAAAACCTTTCTTGTTACTGGATGCAATATTTCTGAATTGGGGTTTCTTACTCCAGTTCTAGCTGCACGGCTTGTTTAAGTTTTGGAATACATCTAAACCAATCACACTCTAGCAGAAATATTTTACAAATAATAATGATAATCATAATAATATAATTATTATTAATTATTACATAATTATTATTGTTATAATTATTCTTATTGCCTATTATTGTAATGGTAATTATTATCCCCAAAGTCTAGAATGAAATTATAGCTTTTTGAACGTTATCTCCTTGAACAGGGCATTGTTGAGGAAGCTGAAATGCTGAATAACAGAGGAAAGGTAGAATTTCAAGAAAAAAGATATGAGAAAGCTTGTCAACAGTATACATCAGCCCTAGAATGTCTTCCCAAAGGTTCAGAGAATGATAAACGGGTCAAGTATCTTTGTAACAGGGCAGCATGTTATGTGAACTTGGTATGTAACTTGAGCTGATTTTCATACCTCAGGTTTTGATAACTTGACATAGCTCTATACTGTATGTACTTTTTCATGCTCATTGCAATAAAATGATACAAATTTGAGGTTGCTGACTTTTTTTCTTATCACACAGTTTAAGTATCTATTAACCTTAGTGCCATAGTTGTTTTTTGATGCTAAATGGGTATTGGTAAGTGGTCTATATAAATTTATTGCAGATTAGATAGATTGTAAAAAAAATCTCTTCACTCACTAACTGCTTTAATTCATTTGTTATAACATTATAAAGACAATTAAGACCCTGTCCTTAATTGCTTACCAGTAAACAAGTGACTCAGAGCTTCTCAGAATGCATTATATACAGCTTAGAGGGAGGTCAAAGAATATTTCTAAGACCAATTAATGTATTGAAAATTTACAGCACACAAAAATAACAAGACATGGTGTAAGTTAGTGGGAAGGTCTGCTCAGTACATCTGAGGTCTGTAGTTACTATCATTTTGAGGAGCTGACGAAAAAATATTTTTCTCTTGCAGAGAAGGTTTCATGAGGCCTATTCTGATTGTGAAGAAGGTAATTATTTTTAAACCAATTTGCTTTATATGAAATAAGTATTAGACATACATGCATGTACTAGTAGATTTAACAGAATGCTTTTTGTTGATGTGAGTGTTTTTATTTATAACTAAACTCAGATAAAGGCAGTTTGTAACTCAGTAGACAAGCAATGGCTTAGTTTTCCTGATTTGGCTGCAGAATTAATGATAAATTCTGTTTACAGACAAACTTACCTGATCGGAAGCAAAACGGAAATCAAACATACACGGTAAACGGTAAACTCACGGTAAACGCGGTAAATACTAAATTGCCAAAACAAATTTGCGCTCGAAAAACTCAAGACTTTCAACTCCTTTTTTTGACGTGTGCAGGTTTCTTTTAGAGGTCAGGAGTTGAAAGTCTTTTTCGAGCGGAAATTTGTTTTGATAATTTAGTATTTACCGCGGTTACCGTGAGTTTACCGTTTACCGGTGGATAGCACAGTACGTTTTGGTAACACTTATCCGCTGGATAGCGATTTATCTGTTGGATAGTGTTATCCGCCCTTTGAACAACTGGGGCCTGCTGACCTCTAAAAGAAACCTGCACACGTCAGAAAAGGTCCGTGTGATTTGTTGACGACACGTTAACTTAAAATAATCTCAAAACACGCGCGCGCACAAGTTCGGTAACGTCTTCTTAACATTACCTGTTTATAAAAGACTTGTTGCAGACTCGTTGCAGAGACGATCTTCAGAATTTTTTGGAAGAAAAAAACCAACACTCAGTCCCATAAAATTGTACTCAGGCAGCGTGCCTCATTGGAAGCAAGGCCATTTTTTAAATTAGGCATCAGAATACATATTAAATAAGTTTGAGAGCGGAGATTTTCTGATTATGACTCTGCTTTCCTTTTTTTGGAATGTGTTTTTATGTTTTTTGTTTTTTTTTGGCTCAGATAAATATCATGTCATCCTAATTCCTTTTTTTCTTTCGTATAAGCACTTGTATTGGATCCACGTCACAAGAAAGCTAGGTTCAGACTAGCTCAGGCTCTGAGGGGTAAGGGCCAAATTTCAGACGCCTACATGGAAATTACAAGTTTGAAAGAAAAGTTCAAACAGGTATAAATGTGTGAGTACTCACTGTGGAGTACATGTAGTAAATTTCAATTGGAGGACTAATCATCGTAATAACTGCAAATTCACCGAGCTCTTGGCATGAAGTTGATTAGAAACTAAAAGAAAGTCAGATGTTTGTGTCAAGATCAAGGTGATTTAAATCACATTATTTTGATAAACTAAAGCTAGGAAATCGACTCTCATTTCGTTTCATTGATTTTGATTGGCATTAGCTAGTTTACATGTAACATAGGTAACTTTAGTTTCGTTGGCGTGTTAGCTTTTCAATTTGAACAGTTCAGTTACATCTACATGTAACTTGAAATTAGACAAGTCACATCGGCTCTCTTTTGCGAATGTAATGAAGTTCCAATCGACTATAGTTGTCATTGTAGGATATCGAAATTTGTATTCAGTTTTTCCGTATCCAGCGGGGCGTCTATTAATTTAGAGGTTTGTTGTATATCAATTCCTTATGTTTACATTGTATGTACGTCTACTGAATTTAGTGGAGTTCGTATTTAGGCTTTTAAAGCTACTAACAAATACTTACTTTGTCGTTACGTTTCATAATTTCTTTCCTAGCGCATGTTCTGCATTGTCAGTTTTTACTTGTCTCTTCCATTTCTCCAGGATGAAGGAATAGTTTTACTTGCTAAAGCTTTGGAAAATGATATTGAGGTAAACATTATGTTACCATTATAAATTTATATTAGATTTCAATCTTCGTCAGTGATCTTAGTTGTTCCTTTTGCTTTGAGTTTCAATTCCTATTTACTATTTATTCGAAGCTCTTTGGTGTTCACTTACACATTTAGTTTATTGTAACTAGGTAAGTGATGGGTTAAGGTAAGTGATGGGTTAGGGCTAATTGCTTCGAAGTTATGGGATCGGAGACCTGAGTTGATCAAGATTGGTTGGGTGAGGGGGACACAGATAACTCCAGTCTCAGTTCCTTGAATTGGCCAGTGCCACCAAAGACAGACGGGTGCCTGCATTTCCACTTTTTCTCGTTTTTTATACACTGAATAGCCGCATAGGCACACAATTATCCCAAAACTACTGACTTTCTTTTGCATCTCAAGCCCATGCAAAGAAAATAACGAAAGAAGCTGGCTTCTAGCTCCATCTGTCCATCGTTTGAGGCGACAAGAACATTTCTTTGTCACTCCTCGTGTTCCATCTTTTTAAAACTGCTTAGTTACGAATCACAATACGATAAGTACTTTATACTTCATTCTAAAGTGCTTTCGACCAGTGTTTTTAGCGCTTTTAGGCGGCAGAGCTCTTGATACGGGTAAGAAATCTGAGTAGCCCGTGGGATAAACTGCGGAAATAAGTTGCACTATTGTAACTCACCACGATGTGCGACTACAACTTAATTTTATGGAAAAAAAACTGGTGGATTGCAATTCGATTTTTTTGAAATAGAAGAAGTAAAGAAGCTAAACAGTTCTTTTTCTTTATAAACGTTAATTGATTCACAAAGGGATATTTTTTTCCGATTGAAATAATGCATCATGAGGTTGTATACATTACGGGAAATAACCGTGCTCGCAAATATTATTTGCGCTGAGGGATTACCGTGTTGGAATTTGCACAAGTCTGGTACTGACATCAGTTTTAGTCGATAGTTGTGCACTTGAGCAGAAGACTGGGTTTGCTATAAAATGTCAACTACTGTAAATAGGACTGGAAACGAGTCGTTGAGATGCCGATGGATATAAATCGAAAGAGTGCACTAAGCAATCATTAAAAACCTGTGTTGTTCACGAGAACTTTACTTTGCGGTTAAACGCCGTATTTTTTTGGTGTCTTACCACGGAAAGACCGATGCAGTAAAGGTTCATTGCTGTATGGAAAACATCACCGGCCTCAGCACTGAACGAAGATTTCTCGACCACGACTCCGGTAACGAATATGTTGTCAAAAACAAAATGATTTCCGACGTCATCGACAAAGAATTAAATGTCTCTCTCCAGTAGACGAAAACATTCCCTAGTCAAGAGTGCAATTTCAGAATTGTTCGAAGCCATTCCTCGCAATCTAGCCTCAGCCAGCTCAGTTTATCTTAGGGAATCTTTCTATAAGACTCAGACTCTCACAAATATTCATCATCAGACATTTTGAGCCGTATTTAGCTGGCAGAAACGATTTGCTTGGAGACTCGGGGTAGTTTTGTTAAAAGTCGGAAAACTCTAGAGAAATAAATCATTAATTGCTCTCGGGCTGGATCCGATTTCATAAAAAAATCACGTGATTCGTAAAGGTAATCACATGATTTCCAGTACAATTTGGGATAAATCCGCACAAACTTTTCAGAGGCTAACCAAATCATACAAGCTCATAGGGCGAGTGCGGTTTATTGTCTTTGAAAAAAAAATTCCATGTGCTAATTTATCCCTAATAACACGAGAAAAATTTATTGGGTTACCTGTTGGTAATATAGATGCAAAAAAATTGACTCTGTTTTTTTCTCAGCTCGGCTTGCCTTCGTGTTGTTGCCCGACTCGTCGAAGTTTTCCTGCAAGAATTCGCTTTTAGCTTTTAAACTTTCTGTCAGGAATAATTGAGTGTTTACACTCTTTCACAGTTAGAATACGCCTAACAGTAAACAGCACACGAAAATTATCACGCTCGTAATTTAATCTCCGTCTTGCGTCCGAACTGTAGCGTAAACTCCTGCCTCTCGTTTCTATGATTCAATACTTTTGTAATAGCCTTCCTTTGGAAGCCCAAGACTTCCTGACTTATAGCTAGTTGTTTCTGCTTTGTTGGCTGTTTTCGTTCTGGACTAAACCGTTGTATTTTTCCTAACCTGTACGCCATTTTTTTTTTTTCGCCTTGGCAACTCTCCCGTCAATCAATTTAATTTTAATTTCTTACTCTGAATTTTAATTTTCTACCTACACTGTCTACACAGGATGCAAAGGAAAAAGCTCTGAATAAACGAAGTGAATTTTTATGGTACTATAGGATGTCTGATTGGGATCCAGCTCTGAAATGTCTGTGCGAAATATTAATTTTGATGCCAAGGATTCCCAAGCTATATGAAGAGTTGACGAAGATTTACCGGTATAGAGCAGAATGTTACATGGGAAAGGTGTGTATACCTAAGTTCAAACAAAGCTGATCTTGTGATAGAGAGCACCATATCTCACCGCCTAAAATCACACGAAGTCCCAACTAGTCACTTTACAGTGTGCCGGAGTCTTTGTGAAAGGCTTATCCCTTGAACATTTAAAATACTTGTCCTTCGCCATTATGAACCATTATAGTTGATCTTTGGGCTACAAAAGCTAAAAGAACGTCCTACGTATAAAACGCCTACAAAAAAACACAATTGGCATGCAATACTCCACAATAATTCTCACTCACGCAGCAAACTTTATTTTCCTCGTTTTAGTTTTTACACAAAGGAATCTATATTGTTCTTCGCTCTCCGCCAAATGATAGGAAAAAAAGTAGGTAAAGGTAAAGCCTACTCAGGAGCCATGTGGCTCATCGGGCCACATGGGCTAGTATTTCTACAGTATTTCAAATTATAGGAAAGAATCGATCTTAATCAGAACCTGCGTCGTTAATTGTATTGTTTTGGAATCTACAGCGCAACTTTGAAGACGCCCTAAGAGATTGTGAGGAAGGTAAGTAGCAAAGTTGATGTGAACGATTAGTTTTAATCAGGAAACAAAGATACTGTATTTTGTTTCAGATGTTTACGGAAAGGCTAGTCTCATGTCCAGATTAGTTGGTTACTCATGGGTTCAATTCGATTTGGCAGTTGAAGCTCATTTTCTTGTTAGAGGGAAAACGCATTTTTACGCGTATTCTTTGGGGCTGATTATTAACCGTGAAAGGAAGTAAACTAACAGAAGGAAAGTGTAATTAGTGAAGCTGCAAAGCGATGAAAGAAAAATTGTCCAACTTTCTAGTTTAATTCCTGACAGTTTCTTTCCTGCCCCGTCATCGGCGGCGCGTCCAGCTTTAAAAGAGTACGGGCTAAAACGACAAAAAATGCCACGAAACGGCTGTCACGCAAGAAGTCAAGTATTTGGTACATTTCTGGCCACGCGGAAAGACTGGCCTTGACCTCATGCGTGACAGCCGTTAATCGGATCTCATTACATTTTTTTTCACATTTTTTAGCCCGAACTCTTTTCAAGCTGGACGCGTGGCTTATGGCGGGGCAAGAAAGAAACTTTGAGGAATCAAACTACAAGGATAAAGTTTAAAGATGATGTATATTGTGATTTGTAAATATATGGTACCAGACCCTTCTAAAGGCCCGAAAATGGGTCGTGGCAACTGTTCAGCGGTTTGCATTACATTTTTGACAAAATAGCCCAAACTCTTGAAAACCTGGACGCGCCGCTTGTGTTGGGCCAAGATACACAATTGGAGGAATTAAAATACAAGGATAAAGCTTTAAGATGATGTATATTATGATTTGTAAATATAGATGGCAGACCTCTACATAGGCCACTGAAGTTGACCTCTATTTTGCCTCTGCGAAAAAGACACGAAATACTTTAATTCAACCAGTCACTCGTCGGACTTAAAACGTAACAACATGGCAAGAAATTAATATTATCCAAGAGATAAAAGGACCATCTGCTAGCACACAAAATCTAAAAGCGGGATTGCATCGCGTTGTAGTGTACGAAGTTGCCAAAGTTGCATAATTTGCCACTGCTTTACGGGGTGGGGGACAAAGGCCCTCTAGGCGTGTTTTGAACTTTTAGATTTTTCGGAGAAAGAAAAGCGCGTTGGAACTTTTTTGATATAATTTTCGAAATTTTGCAACTGTCGGCGGATTCTCGATATTTGTGGTCAGTGGCTTTTAAATTTGAAAGTGTTAGTTCCAATGCAGCTACTAGGAGGGTGTTACTTCAGAAGTTCTTTATTTTTTGTGTTGAAATATACATTGAAAAGAAAAAAGAACCTTTATTTTGTACTACAAAGCGTTCTGGTGTTTAATGTAGTGCTGAAACTGTAAAGGATCAATTGAATGGTGAAGTGCACTACTATTAATTTTTGATTGAGATACGAAGTGCTTTGGTCAACGCATTTTTTTTTTTTTTATTTTTTTATCTCCACAGCTGATAGGCTTTATCCTGGCAACTCCAACGTACTTTTTACCAAAATGGAAGCTCTTGACGGGTTGAGAAAGTATAAAGAATGTTATGACGTTTGCAACCATATGCTCAGTAAAGGCTTCAAGGTTAGCAGCTGTTAAATAATCGGAACTTTATTAGCAATTAACTAGGTTAAAGAGGTTATAATCATAAGAAAAGACGAAAAAGAAAATCTTTCTAGGAACATCTTTGTGCAGATGTTGAGCAGCTGTTTTGGGACATTCTTTGCAGTTTGAATCTAGTTATTCATGTTTCGCTTATTTGGGACTTATATCAGATATTCATTCATTTCTCTTAAAAGGAGGAAGAAGCTCGAAAGACCATTAAACGATTGTTGCCTAAGGTTGGTGGAAACGTCCAGCACGAGTGCCAATGGAAGTAGTAATTAGGCANCAAAACAGACGGAGCCAAAATCTTATGCTAGCTCCTCGCTCAATACGTGGTAAGACACGATGATTCAGATGAGAAGCGGGAGAAAAATTTAAATCGGAGAAAATCAACTAATATTTACCTTGCTAAGTTGGACCCTGCTGTCCTTAAAATTAAGCGGATCAGATTCAGTAATCTCATCATGCTCTTCATCACCCGCTTATATAGTGATGAAATATATACGTTGTAGTACCCCGTCCACCAGCAAATAGTGGCTCACTGTCCTTTCATTCAACTTCTGGGAAGATGTCGAAAACAGATTTTGCCTGTTGATATGATGGAGCACCAGATCACATGGAGAACTCTTACGGCTTTCATCGTTAACCTCCCTCACACTATGAGTGTATAACTCTTTCAACGCGCTGAAATACCTCTCTGTGTTCTCCTTAGTCAATACTGTTCGTGTATTTCAAAAGTGTCGTTATAAATAGAAGTGGTCGATAACAATATGTGCAAGTTGCGCCCTTTATCCCCGATGGAGTTTAATCGCAGGTGTTCTCTTCTGTTAAACGTGAGTAATGCGTTTGATTGGCAATATAGCTAAATTAATTTCAATAAACAATTGAAGAAAAAAAAGTCTTAAAGCCCGCAAGCTGTCTTGTGTATCTGGGTGCCTTTCTGCAAAGCGTTTTTGTGATTTTTTGTTGAAAGTTTTAACTATAGAAAATTCTGTGTTTTTTTTCGTCCTTTTTGAAAAAGACGTTTTAAACTCATACGTCGTGTACCATCTGCTTCAGATTGAGAGGGAAAGTAAGGAGTCTAAGAGGCAGGATAGACCAGAACTCCCTGAAGCTACAGATTTTTCCGAAAGCAAGGTAAATATTTAACTTCAGCGAAAGACATTGACAGATTCAAATCTTTATCCTCACACTAGTAGCTTTCTACCTTTTATAATTGTGAATCTTAACCTACCACTAAACTAAAACTTGCTTTAACCTATCATTGCTTCCTCTACAGCGATGTGCTACTTTTTTTAAAAAATAAAACAACAACAACAACAAACCAAAAAAAATAAACAAACAAACAAACAACAAATTTCAAAAACAAAACAAAAGGAAGAAAAAATGACTTGACGCGGGAAGGGCCCGCTTCAAGTAACCACTTTTTCTCAGCGCTTGATTTACTACTTTTTAATGTGAACGTGAAGGATAAGTAAATTCCTAAAGGCAGAAAAACGAACCTTACAAAATATACCATCAAAAGTACAACGGGAAAATAAATAAAAAGACGAGAGAAAACTTGCTAAATACGGAAGGCAATATAGGTTACAGGAAACACTCAGGGTTTAAACAGCACGAAAACTAAAACAATTACTAGAAGAGGCGTGAAACATGAAATATAAAAAGGGCACCATAAATTTTACCTTAAGCGCTAAAATAATAGTGCACAAATAATGCATGAAAAGCACAAACCAAAAAACGAATAATAAGCGTAAATTAATGTGGGTGAAAATATGAAAGAGGCCACAAATTCGCCACAAACTGAGGATAATATCTTTCATTGCAGAGGAATAAATCCAAAAAAAGTAAAGGAACAAAAAAGAAGAAGAAGAAGAAGGGGCAAGGAGGTACATTGTGTTTAACAAACCGAAAACGTTTACTATCCTTAGGTTATCAAGAAGTCTGAAAACAATTTGCTCAACGATAAGTGGAATATGCAATAAATGACTTTTCAACCCATACTCGTGATTTTTGCAGAGAAATAACTTGATCAAGTACTGTTGTTTTCAATTGCAGTAGCAAATGCAGCGAACGTTAAGCAGGTATCAGACACAGATGAATCTAACGTAAAGTGCAGGTAATAGTATTGTATTTGCTTAGGAAGCATCGACACTTCTCAAATCAGTAAGCGTTTTTTTGTAACGAGGTGATAAATAGGGATTGTTGAATACTGGATTAGTATTGTATAACGTTCCCGCTTCCAGCACTGTGTTTAAACAATGTAAAAATTGATTCCTCGCCAAATCTGGGACACCTATCCCATTGACTTAATAGCTAGATATACATGCTGGGAAAAATTAGAGAAAATGGATAGACTAAGAAAAAGATTGGGTGGGCGTGATTTGTATTTTGCTGCAGCCGTATCTTGAACATTTCCTTTGTAACCGTTTGTAGTATTACTCTCTGCAATTACTATTAGACTAAATTGATTTTGCAGATAATGTTTGGGTTTTCTTTTTTTTTTTGTAGCAAACCTGATGAATTTTTGCCAAGACTACAAGATAAAGAGGAGGACAGTAAACAAGGAGACGAAGCTATAGATGAGACGTTTGTCGACACCGAAGTGACCTGCAAGAAACATACTTCTGCTGAAAATTTAGGAGTTAAAAGTAGTCAACAAGGAAATGTACATGCTGCAAATGTGGTACTTAGTTGCACAAGAGCGGGTGATGAAGAGCATGATGAGATTACTGAATCCGATCCGCTTAATTTTAAGGACAGCAGGGTCCAACTTGGCAAGGTAAATTTTAGTTGATTTTCTCCGATTTAAATTTTTCTCACGCTTCTCATCTGAATCATCTGACATATATGCAGGTTCTTTTCGCAACTTTCATACTCTTTGTTATTTTCAATTTATTATTAAAGACGTCAAAGAGTAGTAAAATGTAAGGTAAATAAACCCTTTCAGGCGGCCGGTATGTGGGCTGACAATCTCCGCGGCTGAGGTATAGTCCGAAAAATGAATATTTGGCCGAGAAACGAAGCTTCAAGGGCAAAAATGAAATTTTGAAGACAATTCCTTAGCCAAAGACATTATCGGCCGATGTTCCAGCGAGCCAATACGGGTTGATAGGGCGTTATGAGCAAAATTTTGTCGACCTCTTTAAACTTTCCGAACCAGCACTCGAGATCAGCTTCTCAGTGTACTCTACAAAAGTAGTTGCTTTTTTTTTTTCATCTATATAAAGTAACTGAGGCGGCTTTTTTCCCTTTAAAATATCTTCTTTGTCACGCGGAAGGACTCACCTACAAATAGCTCAACCACGAAAACTCTTTTCTTTTTTTTTTCCTTTTTTTTCATGAAGGAAGAAGTTTCGCCGCTGAAACCTGGAGCCAAAGTGTTACCAAGTGTAAAACCTACTATTCTAGGATCACCGGCAGGTTTGTCTATAATGCTGTGTGACATCCAAATTGTGAAAGGTGGTTTTCGATATGAGTTATAAAAAAATACGGGTGTCATAAATATCACCTCTAATCATCTTATCCGAGCACAGCTATATACTTGATGAAGAAACTTGTAAGTTTAAGATAAAGATATATTTTTGGGCACTTATTCTTGGATTTTTCTCTTTAAAAGTAAACTGGCTAAGCGCTGTCAAATTTACTATGAACTTGTGTTTTAGGTGCAACTACAACAAGTGTGAATATAAAATCAAACTCAAATCGGCCTAACTCTCCGTGCAGGTAATGTGTCTTATTATAGAAGTACTGAGATTTCCACAGTTCAAAATCACAGAATAATAATCGTCTCTCTTTGATGAGAAGCAGTCCCACTGGTCATACGATTTTTTTCACCAGTGAAAACTATCGTATGACCAATCAGAAGCCTGATACGATTTTTTCACGAGTAAGAAAAATCATATCGGTTTTTCCCGCCTTTCGGGGCGGCCTTGCGAATTAATTGAGAGTGAATATTTACTTACAGAAGTCTATTCCGATTCAGAGTAGAAAACGCTTTGTTATTTTGAAAGCTTATGTGAGCTATAGAGATTGCTCCATGGAAAATGCGCGCGTACGATTTTTATTCATGAGTTGAGGAGTATCAGAAAACGAAAGAGTGAGCGCTGGGAACGAGTGAGTTTGCTGATACTCCTCAACTCGTGAATAAAAATCGTACAAAGCATTTTCCATGGTGTAATTTGTTTATTTTATAGATATTGAGATTTTTTAAATGAAAAATTGCTGGTCAAGTTTGGGCGCGCATGTTTAGAAAGCCTATTATAAACTAAAATAAAAAGTTCTCTTTGTCTTTTGAAATGTTTAATGAAGGTAACAAATCCAAATATGTAGACGTAAATGACAACTTTTAGAGGAAAAAAACTTGACTTAGATTTAAAAGTCAGAAATATCGTGAATCAGAATGTCACTAAATCATGAACACACGCAGCGTCATACGCTTTTACGCTGAATAACACATTGAAAACCTTAACTGATATCAGACAAAAACAGCCTGCAACTTTCATGAAAATTCAAGGCAAACTTACAGTGTACATAACTTAGTCATCATCGGAGTCGCTGGATACTCTGATTCTCTTCCACTGATGCTTTTTCGTAATCTTGTCC